TAGAGTCCTAGATATCAGAGAAGCGCAACCGATGTTCCGTGTCCTGATTAGCTGACTGTCAGCCAATCATGACATTCATTCAGTGGTATTAAAAATGGCTGACTAATAGACGATTGGTGGATTTCATATTTCGTCTGCAAATGACGCCATTTTTAATACTTTTCTTAGTAATTTTGCGATACTGACTTAAGCCGGTTGCGCTTCTCTGATATCTAGGACTCTAATTACGGCCAGTATAATCCAACCCTGAGACCAATCACAATCGTAGAAAGGAAAGTAGAGTAATGATTGCAGAGATCTGATTGGTCTCACTGTTCCGTTCCGGTGTAATTTCCGTATCATGGGACAGCACCCTGAAACGGAACGCAGCCGGCTTTAAACGACGAATTCGTATGCAGTGTGAATCCAGCATAACGGAAAGTGTGTGCGGCAGCCTTAAGGATGCATAAGAAACATGGCCGTTATGATTTTGAGGTCTGAACATCGTTGATTAGTTGGTGTTAGTTGGACTGAGTTGGATAATTGACAAGGGGGGTCAAGGTATTTAATCAAGGTTGCGACTGCTTATTGCTGACAATGCACGTTAATTAATCGCGTTTCAGCACCATTAAATTCGTGGCAACGAGATTCGTCACGTATTTCCGGGACGTCGGACAATTATCTTCATTTTTATATTATCTCCATTTTTTTCATTTTTTTTTATACAAAAATTTTCTTGCACGGTGTGAGAAGATATGTGATTCCTCCTCCTGAGTTCCTTTCTTCCACTTGTAGATGTAATTTATCTATCGAAAAAGTACATCATTCTTTTGCTAATTGCTTTATTCTCGAATGTATTCTCGCGTAACTAATTTCAAAGTCTGAAGGAGTGATTCGTGCGCGGATTTTGCTAAGAAACGAATAGAGAGTGGCGACGATAAATTTCACTCTTTGCTACTGGGTAAGTTTGTATGATGGCGAGTGATCTGTCGAGCGGCTGCACGGAGACAATCGACATCCTAGATGATGAGAAAGAAGAAGGCGAGATTTCATTGGAGGATGTCAGTTCGTCTGAAGAAGGTGGAATGGGTCACTTGACCAGTAATTACGTCGTCGGCAGGATACGTAGATGCCCTGATTGCAAGTCTTGGAGCAATTGTACTACCTGGTGCAATACAACGTATCATCCTAAAAACCAAAGCAGGAGAGGTAAAATCATATCTATTGTCTATTTATCTTTTTACTTTGACCATATTTTGCACTTGTGTTTGAAGCTAAGACCTGATACTATCCATGTAAAATTAACTTTAATCTTAAGGTCTGTTTTCTGTGGCTGAACTAGTGTACAATTTTAGAACTTAAAAGTGAGGTATGTTTGATATTTGTCGAAAGCGAGAAAGAGAGTTCTAGAGTGCAGGAACAGAAAACAGACCAATTGTTTAATTTAATGTTTGTCTTTTTCTAATTTTAAGAAACAGTGAGTTAAAACAAGATTAAAGTTAATATATTACTACGTCGACCCGCCGTCGATCAGAGGTCTATAGATATTCGCTAAGATTCTCGCAAGTGCTTTGATACGCGTATATCTATATATATAGAATCTCGATTTAATAACTAAAACAGGCGTCTAAGGTAGGCTTCCATTACAATACCTTACTGATGAGTCCAGTATTGGAAGCCGGGACGAAACGCCAACATTACGTGATATTCTTCGCAATATATTAGAATTAATAGGATTAATAGAATTAAAGATTTTAATGAATCTAAGGCTCGTAGCCTTATTCTCATATTAGTATTAAAGTTAATCTTGATGAAATTGAGCTTAAGAGACTTATGTCTGTTTTCACCAATGTAGATTAACTTTAATTTCAGTTTAACTTACTGTTCATCTTTTTCTAATTTTTAGTACTAGACGAAGAGCGAGTTAAACCGAGATTAAAGTTAATCTACATAGTGGAAATGGGCATTAAAGATTTTTTGGTTTATTTATTCATATTTTGATTCTAAGATATCTATATATATATATATACATATATATATATATACATATATATATATACATACTACTCAACAAAATTAAAGCATCACCTGTTTTCACCCTACAAAAATAGGCAAACTTTGAGATAGAATAACTATGTCAAAAATCATTGTATCGAGATGTTTAAAAGTAAATTAGAGATAAAGATTCAGTCTTTCGAAAACTGTAAACCGCATTTACGCACAATTTGCTCCGTGCAACCTCACAAATTTCATATAAAATTTCAAGATTTGATGCTTCACTTTTGTTTGTGTAGCTTCATGAAATATCGGCAAGAGACTGTTTTTTTAAATAAGTGTTCTGAAAAGTACAAATTTCAAGCTTTAAAATATTTTTTTAAACATCTTGATACAATGATTTTTGACAAAGTTATTCTTAAAGTTTACATATTTTTACAAAGTGGAACAGGTGATGCTTTAATTTTGTTATGTAGTGTATATACAGGGAGGGGCATTTAAAACAGATCACCTGAATAACTCGCTTGTTTTTGACAATAGAAGAAAAAGTGTCAAACAAAAGTTGCTTGGTTTCGAGGGGCACATAATGTGATGTCAATAATTGTTTTTTTGGTGGAGACGCTAAAAAGATATGAAGGTCGCCTCCACTTTTTTAAATGGAATTATGTAATTTTTTTAGATAACGTGATTCCTCTAATTATTTTGCATATAAAAGTATTAAGGTAGAGATACCAAAAAACCAATAGTTTTCGAGATATTTTACACTTTATTTTGATACATATTGACACAAAATGTTAAATAACTCGTTAAATAACTGTTGACTTTTTGATTATCGTACCTTAATACTTTTGTGAACAGAATAATGAGATAAATCAA